CAGCTAGATAGGTAGGTAGATAGATAGTTAGGTAGTTAGATAGATAGATAGGTAGGTAGGTAGGTAGGTAGATAGTTAGATAGATAGGTAGGTAGGTAGATAGGTAGGTGTATGTCTCAGTGAATATAGCACCGATCAATGTTATGTACTGAAATCATTCTATATAGACGACAAAATACGATCGCATACGGAGATAATACGGTCGTTTACGATCATAAACGCTCTGTATACGATCTCCGTATTTCTCCGTATACGGCCACGGAGATATACGATCACATGTATTACGGCCACATACAGTCGTATACGGAGCGTATATGGCATGTAAACGGTCGTATACGACACCGTATACGATCGTTTCTGACCGTATACGGAGTCCGTAACAATGGACCTGGGACTGCTCAATGATCATGTTGGCTTAATCGCGGCATTTATGTTCCGTTATATCAAGATCATTCAGCAAAAGTATTAGAATATTATATCGAAGATTCGAGAGCATCAATTTTAATATCTACCAACAATTTTGAAATCATTCTTCGACCATTAGCTGAAAAGTTCAACATACCATTAATAACAATTATCCCCAAAGATTTGAAAATGAGCACGGGTGAAAACGAAACAATAGAGGAAGATTCGGATATTTTTTCAAGTAGTACAGATATACATCGTCATAGAATAGGTATGGAGGAAATAAATTTAAAAAGACTAAATAGTTTAATTAAATTTCTTCCTCATACATCTATTAATCTATATGTTCATATAGATTGATATGATCAATAGATTTCTCTCATATCTAATTACATATATTTAAATCATCTGTAATTAGCGCCATCTATAACCCAAATATCATTCATTGGTTATATTATGAACTGTTGAAAATACGGAGAAATAACAACAAACAAGCTAATTTCACCATTCCAACCGATATTTAACTACGTAGGTCATCGATCGGGTTCATCAACGTAATCATTATTCATACTCGATTTATAGATTAACGTTTTATTGTTTATTGACTATTAATTATTTGTTTATTTATTAAAATACACACACATATATATACAATGCCGCCACCAACCTCGACGGTATCACGAAAACGAACTCGTTCAACAAATGTTTCTGAAGATAATAATGATCATGAACAAGCAACATCAACATCAACAATTGTTTCTTCTCAACCAATTAGTACAGCTCCGCCTAAACGTCAACGTAATAATCCACCATCAACAACATCTTCCGTTGTATCACATACAAATTATTCACTTCGAAATCGTTCAATAACATCTGATACACAACATTCATCAACACGAATATCATCTATTGAGAATTCTCAACGATATAATTTACGTCCACGACATTTACAATCACAAATTCAGTTACCTCAAATTTCAACTTCACATTCAATTGGTGTATCACGTCGTCCTACTTCTACAACTCATCGACAAATTCCATCTACAACAACAACAACACAACAAGAACAACCAACATCATCTATTGTTCAACCACGACAATATCGTCTTGTTTATATATCGGATGATGATGATCAACCAACAACAACGACACAATCATCAGCAGCTATTGTTAATACAACTTTTAATTTAGTAACTGATGATGAAGATGATGATTTAACACGACCACAAGTACCTCCACGTCGTACAGCAAGATCAACATCTAATACTGGTCATAATACACGGTAAATACAATAAATAATTTTCAAATGAAATTTTTTAGATTTTTCTTGTTCTATAGTTCTCGTACATCTACTGATCCAACTAATACAACGACAATAGATAATCAAGATTTTTCTAATGGTGGTGTAGCACATGTCCGTCTTAATCGTGCTATTGAAATTGTTATTGATTCTATACAATCTCTTGAAGGTGCTGTAAATAATTTTGATCAACTTGTATTTCGTCTTATTTATGGTCGATTAGGTACACGAAATGAATTTGAAAATATTGAAGTAAATAAAAATATATATATATCTATTTTTTTATTTTTATTTTTTTTGTTTATCTAGGGTATGATACGTTTATCTCGAATATTAAATTTAAATTTTCCATCACGATTAACACAAGATGAAATAGATGCCTTACCAAAAATAAAATTTATTCATAAATCCGAATCAACATCATCTATTTTATTAGTTGAAAAATGTCCTATTTGTTTAACTGAATTTAATGATCAAGAAATAATTAATAAATTACATTGTACACATTTATTTCATCTTGAATGTATTTCAACATGGCTTAGTGTAAGTTTATTATTATTTTGAAAGAATGAGACAATAAATTTTTTGTTTTTGTTTTTTGATATAGGAAAATGATTCATGTCCGACATGTCGTCGAAAAGTAAATGGAGATTAAAACTTTTTTTTTTGTTTATGTGCCATATTTAAAAAAAAGAAGCATCACACTAGCTAATTATTCCTGCATTCGTTTCTAATGAACAACGTCAAGCCCGGTGAGAGTTTTTCTTTTTTCTCTCGTTCAACATTTTTATTCAAGAAGAAAATGTATGAATGAAAGAGATTATTTATATGTGTTCAGGTTCTTCTTTTTTTTTCTGTTGTTGTTGTTCTTCTTATTTCTGTAAAAAAACACAAACTTGCGTGATATACATATACACTTATACTCTTCTGTTTTCTTTTTTTTTGTCTTCTGATGTTGATTATTTAGCAGAATGTTTGCGTGTGTGTGTGTGTGTGTGTATGAAAGCAGCAGCTATAAACATATATATGAATAAAGGTATAAATAAACGCATAACTACATACGTAATCTGATATTTGAATAATATTAAAGAGGAAGAAAAAACGGAAGGATCTTAATTTTAACAAATAATTTTAGTCTTGACGTAAATTTATTGACAAAAAAGCTTTATAGAGAATCCTTTTCTTTTGCTTGATAATGTTATCTTAATGAGACATGCTTTTTTTTACGACATTGCGAAAAGATAAAGAAGTTATATTAATAGAGAACAACAAACCTCACATCAGGTAACAAATCATGGTTTTCGCAAAAAAACATTGGATTATTATTGGTAGTATAGGAAGTACTTTGGCTATTGCTATTATTGTAGGTGTTACAGTAGGAGTTGTTGTTGGACGACGAAAATCAGAACAAACAACAAATGAACAACGAGCATTTGATATTCTTGCACAAAATCCATTGATTGATGGGTAAGAAGAACAACTGAATGAAATGAAAAATTAATTTTTCGATTCCTAGAATTCTTAATGAACTGTATTGTACATTAAACGTTTTTTTTTCCACCATCGAAAATAGAAAATCATAGATTTTTATTCTATACAGAAGAGATCATGCCAGATTTTTCTAGGTGGATATGATTGTTGCAGTTAGAGATATGCGAGGTCAATTTTAATCCCAAGTTTGAAAATTTTCGACTCGATGAATTCTAGTCGTTTATGACGCACTAGCCACCGAATACAAAAAAAGTATTTCGCATCTTCGAGGCGACTATCTAATCCGGTATTGAAAGTATAAAAGTACGGTTCGACCAAGTTCTAAAATTTTGAAACCATCGAATACAAAAGTTCTAAAACCTATGTCAAGAAATCTTCATTTTTGTCATTCTTGAGAATAGAGATTTCAGTATATCTGTATAATATTATTTTGTTTATATATTGAACTATGTGGTGTGTCTAATTTTAATAGTGAAAATTTCTCGAAATAGATCTTAAATTTACGTACCTATATGATGATTTAACAGTTTCGGTCGCAGGCGATGCTTTTTTCTCATTTTTAGTAATCCAAAACTGTCGAACTCTATACCAGACACTAAGACAAAAGGTTGAAGGATTGCCGAGATCGAAAACTAAAAAATTTGCTCTCGCACATTTCTAGTCTTGATATACTTACACTTGATCAATCCTTACATAGTATCTGACCATTTCATTTATAACAAAGTCTTGGTTTTAATTTCCGCTCAAATTCTAAACTCGATGTTATATAGATCCCATTAAATTTTTGTTTGATACTCTTAAAAAAAGTTTTTTTCTTTGTTCTAAGCGTTCTAGTATTTTTCAAAGTGAAGAATTCATACAGTTGATTTTTTTATGTTCTGTTACATTTCTAGTCATAATGATTGGGCTATGATTATTCGAGCAATTCTTCAAAATAATATATCCGGTCATGATTTCTATAATATGACTCAATATGATAGAAAAAATGGCACACCATCTCAAACAGATATAATACGTTTACGAAAAGGTCAAGTTGGTGGACAAGTATGTTTTTTTGAATATTTATCATATGTTTGATTAAAATAAATTTAAATGAATAGTTTTGGTCAATCTATACATCTTGTGAACATCAAGGAAAAGATGCTATAATGAGTTTTATGGAACAAATTGATGTTATGAATCGATTAATAGAAAAATATTCTGATGTATTTCAATTCGTTAGAACAGCTAATGAAATTCGACAAGCATTTCAAGCTAAACGTATTGCAAGTTTATTTGGTGTTGAAGGTGGACAAGCTATTGAAAGTTCATTTTCAATTTTAAGACTTTTCTATCAAATGGGTGTACGATATATGACATTAACACATAATTGTAATACTCCATGGTATGATTAGTTTTTTTTTTTGTTTCCACGAAAATGAATAGATTTTGAATAACACTGAAAAATCGATTTAATTATTAGGGCTGATCAAAATCAAGTTGATCGTATTAATTCAACATTAATAAAAAATAATGGTTTAACAGAATTTGGAGAAAAAATTATTACAGAAATGAATCGTCTTGGAATGTTAATTGATTTATCACATGTTTCAAAAAAAACTATGCTTGATGTATTAAATATTACACGTTCACCAGTTATATTTAGTCATTCATCAGCTTGGACTTTATGTAATCATACACGAAATGTTCAAGATGATGTACTTCAATTAATTGTAAATTAAAAAAGAAAATTTTTTATTCTACAATTAAATCTTCTGATATTTATTTCGACTTTTAGAAATCTAATCGTGGAATTGTTATGGTTGCATTTACACCAGGTTTTATAATATGTAATCGTCAACGTCGTGTAACCATTCCAGATGTAGCAGGTAAAATGAATTTTTATTCTATTGATCATTTATTTTTTATTTGATTTAGCACATATTAATCATATTCGAAATGTTGCTGGTATCGATAGTGTTGGTATTGGTGCTGATTATGATGGTATTGACGAGTATGTTTTTCATTTTATTTATTGCTTTTTTTTTATAAATGCGTATTTTGATATATAATTAGCACACCAGAAGGTCTAGAAGATGTATCGACTTATCCAAAAATTATTGAATATTTAATATCACAAGGAAATTGGACTAATGATGATATTATTAAATTGATTGGTGGAAATATTATACGAGTAATAGAAGAAAATGAAAAAGTATATTCAATTTATTATTATTAGTTTTTTTTTAAAATTCTATTCTTATTTTAAAAAATATTTTGAATAACTTTTAGATATCACGTGATCTTCAAAAGATAATTCAACCATTTGAAGATTTAATACCTCTTAATGATTTAATAAAATACAATTTAACACAATGTCGATATTTAGATATGTATACAGATACATCTTATTTGTGATCCATACAAAAAGACATTAGTTTTAATTGTCAACAAATTTACATTGATTTCAAAGATCGACTTTTTTTTCTTTACGATCAAATTAAATTAACAATTTGATAACAATAAATATAATCGAGCCGTTAAAGTTCAGACACAAACTATTTCTTCATATTCTAATCATTTATCACTTTTCAATGTTTACTCACAGCTAACCAACTTTTTAGTGGATGAACCTATCGGGTTCGGGTTCGTTCTCAGAAATTCTTGGACCCAATGAGCTCTAATCATAATCAGCCATCGATTATTCACACAAGGGGAAGGATTCGAATTTAACGATGCAGAAAACTAAGTCTACCATTGGAAAGAGCACGATTGATAGAGTGTATAATGGAAGGATTTCTATTCCTGAAAAGTCTTAAATGTTTCTGATATGCGAAATCTATCTAGTGTGATACAGAGTTTCATTAGTATCCGAAATTTACGATGTATTTAAATCATTAAATATTTTATACTATTTTTGTTCATAAATATACATACACTAGCAAGAAACTCGTGGCTTCGCTCCGGGTTAGGCACTGTGTGTGAGCTTGAGTGTAACTATAGGTGCTAGTGTATGTCTCCTTCGCATACCCACATTCCACAAGATAGCTCCAGAATATTCTCGAATTCTGTTAATTCTATATCGTTTTGGACAATTCTAGAAAATTCCAGAAGTATTTATCCTATGACCTTTGACCTGGTAACAGACGGACGGACAGACAACCATGTTTTATTATATAAATATGGATTTGGAATTACCATTGAAATCTGAACAACATCGATTATTTAGTTTATCAAAACTTCAACCAGAAATTTTTTTCTTGGATTCTAATTACTTTTATACTGATCAAAATTGTAATTTTCAGAAAACACGATAGAATTTAGCAAGAATTTAAATAACTCAATTGAGTGTTCCTTCAACTTATCTCTAACTGATTTATTCTAATTTAATATTTTTCAGATTCGATCCATTCCTAACTAAGATTTAATTCTTTACCAAAGAATTTTTTTCAAAAAATAGCTTGTGAGTTTGAATTTTATGAGATACGAGTATTATATATTCTCAACTTTAATTTTTTATTCTCATTGAAAAATCAATCATGGCCGAGTAAGAGGAGTAGACTCTCAGTTGCAGCTAAAAAATGAAAACTTTCATTAGTAGTAGATTTAAATGATCTCTATGATAAAAATTTCAGAATGTTTGCTTTTATCATTCGTGATGTACGTGTTACAATGGCAAAGAAAAAAACAAGAATGAAATTCGGAAACGTTTAAGTCATGTTGTGGAGATAAAATCTCATCAAAATAGTGTTCTACATGCGTAGAATTAATTTTCTATTTATGACATAATAATAAAATATTCTTTTCCAGTTTTATTACGATAAACACTTGTTTATTTTGCATACAAGACAAGATCATATAGTGTTTACACTTATATAACCGGGTCAATAATATGTCATACAAGCAGTTATGATTCGATCCAAAAGAAAAAAAGAGCAAGAATGTTTAGATTAACAACAAACAGAATATGTCAATATACAACCACTTGTTTTATTCTTGTTCATCGTCTTTTTCCTAAAATTAAGAAATCTTCTTCATTGTTTTTTTTTTTTATAGAATTAAATCTTACTTCAAGATCATCTTCTTCATCATTTTCACCTCCACTACCTTCTTCTTCATCATTTGTTGTTGCAGCCTGGAATAGAAAAATAATCTTTCAAAAGAAAAAAAAAAACTTGAAATTTTCTTACCAAATAATATTGAAGAGGATTAACAAATATATCATCTTTAATAACTTCACCAAATTCATCATTACCTGCTTCACCATTTGTATCTGTAAACCAAGCCATAAAAGCTCCATGTTCATTATTATTTTCTGTATCATGAGTACGTTTACGTGATTCACCTTCACTTTTTTTACTACTACTACTGCTACTACTTGCTGTTTGACCATTTTTAGCTTCCTTTACAAAAAACAAAAAAAAATAAAGAAATAGAAATTTTATTTGTATTATTTTACAAACATTTTTCCATCGAATTGGTGTTGATTTACATGTTGTTTCACTTGATTCAGTTACACTAAATTCTTTAATGACAATATCATTTTCAAAATAAGGATTTGTATCAAATGTCTAAATAACAAAAATCTAAGAAAATTTCATTAAAATATAATAAGACTTACAAATTTAATACGATAACCTGATTTGATATCATCATGCTAAATAATAAAAACAAAAAGAAAATTTAAGATTAAAATAAAGAATCGTATTTTTTTTTCATTTACTTCTTCAACATCAACACGTTTAAGATATTGTAAAATATTTTCATCATTTTGATCTAAATAACTTGATAATTGAGGATGATTAAGAAAAACACTGATCCAAAATGATGGAATTTTGCTAATCAAATCTGAGCCTAAAAAGAAATTCTTATTTATTTTTTTTTGGTTAAAAAAAAAGAAACATACGTTTTTTATAATTTGGTTGTCGAAGTTTATTATATTTTTGTTCAACTTGAAGAATTTCTTCACTTGCTTGTTCATTAAGACGATCAATTTCATTTTGAACATCACCAATTACTTCAAATGCTTTTTGCATTTCAGCTTCTATAAATCAAAAAAAAACAAATATTTCATTTGATTAAAAACAAAGCAAAAAAAAAACTAATTACCATCAAGTTTAATTTGTTTTGTATTTGGTGCTGACATTATTTAAGTATCTTGAAAAGAAAGAACACGATGATAAATGATATATGAAAAATTGTAAACAAAAGCACTATGTCTTTTCTTCTTGTTTTGCAATGAATTGACCAATAATAATGTTAAACGAATGACTGACTCGTTAGCTTTCCTCTCTTTACACTTTACTGTGTCATGTTATTGATTTGAAGATAGCGACATCAAGCGGAAACATATGTTTATACTAGTTGATGAAGTTAATTATAAGATTTGATCTTAATATATAAATTCAATTCTCCAGACAGATATTAAATAATAAATTATTGAAATTTTTATCCTTTTTTTTTTTAAGGCATATCATATTGATAGAGATAAGAATGTTATCTTTCGTTCGATTATATTCTGAAATTTTACTTAATCTCATGTGTGAACTATTTTAAAGTAGTATTGTTATTTTTAATTGTTTTACAAATCTGCAAGTCTATAAACTAAATTTAATTGCATTATGAAACTTGGCAATATCATAAGAGTAAAAATGAAACTCGAATCTATGGATTTGGATTTTTTCAAACACGACTCCTATTTCTGCATTCAAAAAAAAAAAAAAAAACAGAAAGCACTATATTTATTGTATAAATTTTTCTGAAGCAACTGATTAAAATCATTCGACATAGATTTCTGCAAAAATTAATCTATGAAACTTATTTTGTTAATATTTATTTCATCTTTATTTTTCTCATTAGATTTTGCAAAAAGAAAAGAATTTGTTAATTATAATCTCTCATAGTATATTAACCGAAGTTATATTAAATGTCTCTCATGTTATAGATTTCAACATTCATTAATAACTATATTTCATTAAAATCATTGAACTATTACATTTGACATATTCAATAATAATAATTATAATATAAGTTATAGGATTAGTTAGCTTTTATTAACTTCAATAAACATTGAAACTATATAAACTTGTTTACAATTTTTCATCAAGATTAGGGTAAAGATTAAACGAGGATAATAGACACAAAGATTTTTTTTTTCTGTCGTCATAGCATATGTCGATTATTGATTTACCTTCGATCAGTCACGATGATTTTTTTGTCTTTTTTGTGTATTCACATCCGATTGTATATATAATGAAATAAACAATGACTATTTTACTTGTCGTCTAGATTAAAGATTTATTTACCATACACTACACCTATGGCGAGACCGAAAATTGATTATATATATATTGTCAATTGTTCTATTTACTAATGTCAACGGAAAAAAAAATGCTAGATTAATATTGAGATTTCGCGATATGTTTGAATATTTATTTCAACAATTGAATTCAATTATTTCGATTACGTTTACATTATCTAAAGTCAATCAAGGACAGATTTTGTTTTTTTCATTTTGATTTATTTAAAATCATTGCAGTGTAAAAACAAAACGAGAAAAATAGTCTGCTCTTTTTTTTTTTGTTTCGAATGTAATAAATATTTATTTATTCTTAAATAATAGAATGTCATATTTGGGTGTATGCATTCAATAGCTTGAATGTTTTTTTCTTTTGTCTTTTATACAAATGACGTCCGACTTCGGATTTATGCAGAACAATGAGAGGAAATATTTCATATACAACGAGACAGAGAGAGAGAGAGAGAGAGAGAGAGAAAAACCATTATTTCATAACAAAGAATAAAAATAATATATTTATTAGATGATTATGACTTATAGCCATTTTCACATTGACTAAATAATCATTTTTTAGATATGAATCAAAAAAAAAGAAAAAAGGTTACTCGTTCTCTATTATTGTTGAAATAGAAATTGTCATTCACTCATTTGACATACAAAAATGAATTCTCTTTCCTTTCTTTTCTCTTGAAACGTCCACCTATCTTTTGGTTGTTCATTCTTCCGATTATAATCAACCACTGGCACCATAATTACCTCTTTTTACTTTTCAGTTCATATACATATACACGCACACACATACATACACCAGTCGATGTGAGTCTAGTCGATGATTATTCATATAATTTTCTTTTCTCTTCATTCAATATTGAACAGTGATTGAGTTACAACATATTATTCTAGGATGACATCATCATCTTTACGTCCATCTTATAAAGAAGCACAAGAGCGTCTTTTAAAATGGTGTGAAAATGTTACTAGAAATTATGAAGTATGTAATATAGTAAAAATTAAATAAAAATCTTACAAAAATTTTACATATCCTATAGTTGACATTTAAATAAAGCTTTTATATATTTATATATATACGTTTTTCATTTTTATAGTCAGTAAAAATACGTAATTTTACAACGGATTTTGCTGATGGTCTTGCTTTTTGTGCTATAATTCATCATTATTTTCCGGATGAATTTGATTTTAATAAATTAAATCGTGATAATAAACAAAATAATTTCGATTTAGCATTTCGTATAGCTGAGTAAATTCAAATTTTATGTTTGTTATTTTTGATAATTAATATCTTCTTTGTTTTTTTCTTACAGAGAAAAAGCTCACGTTCATCCATTACTTGACACGGATGATCTTATACATGGTGAATTGGATAAAAAATGTGTATTCACTTATTTACTTACTCTTTATCATGGATTAAAAAATCATCAAACAAATAAACTTCTGCTAAGCTAAAAAGATAAAATTCTTTTTCTTTTTTCTTTTAACTTTTTCTTTTTATTAAATACATTCTATCTTCTTCTTTTTGTTTTTGTCGTGTCTTTAAAACAAAAATCGATTATAATATGTTGTCTCAATAGAAGTATATAATTAAATTTAATATAAATATCAATAAATTGTCCTTATAAAAATTATTAAAAATCCAAGATTAATTAGTTGAAATGAATATTTATTTGCTTTATTACAATAATCTATTTGACAACAATAAACACCATTACTAAGAACATTAACTGGATTACATATTGATGTTGAATCTTTTACAACAAGACTTCCGGTTATGGTTTTCTATTGAATAAAGACAATATATTATTTTAATAAACATACGACAGTATAATTACTTACACGACAATAATCATTAGGACGTGTTGTTCGAACTATAGTAGCTACTGCTGGATCCCATGTTGTTCCACAAGGATTACATGCATAACATGATGTAGCAGCATGAGTAACTGTGAAGAAAGAAAAATCCGTTAGAAGTTAAGGAGAGAGAAAAAAAAAGATTCTTACTATCGAAAGATACGAATAATATGAATAAAATGATTGCTAAGATTGTCATCATAAATTTCATATTGAATAGAAATAACTAAATTTTATTATAAAAAGAAAGATATGTTCTTTTTCTTTTTCTTTTCTTTTCTTATTTAATATTTTAACTCATCAAATATACTTTTATTTGAAGACAAATATTGAAATTAAGTCAACAGTTCAACATAATTATCATATATGATATATATATATGACGAATATAATTGTTACATATAGAATAGGAACATTATTACAAAAATGTCAATCATTCAAGGTTCTTTTTTTTATGGAGTTTTATATGTAATTTGTTTCATAGTTATCAATTATTTGCGTAGCAGAACTAACACTTGTGATTTTATTTTATTATTACTAATCTGTAGTCTCTCGATCAAAGTCATCTTTCATATGTGTTTTATATTTAAAAATTAAAAATTAAACATAAAATAATAATAGAATATTGACCAGACTGAATTCGAATATGACCATAAGAAATCTCTATAGTCTTCAAGACAACTCAATAATATGCCGTTTGAACTCATATTGAATTCGCAAGGAGGTCTCAGTAGGATTAGAAAATTCCTTAGAAAGGTTCATGACTATGGATCTTTGAAGCTGAGCTATGACTGTTTTACTGAATTTTTGAGTTGAAATTTAGTTCGTAGATGGATCTAATGATTTTTAGAATAGCCGGAAAGTTTCAGCCGAAAAGAATGTTCATTTGTCAAGATATTGAATTTCCAACAAATAGTCACTTGTCACAAAAATCAAGTTTTCTTGATAATTCAATATCTCGACAGAGAAACATTCTTTCAGAATATTCCCAGAGTCATTAGACTTATCTATGGTCAAAATTATAGGCCGAAAATTTAGTAAAATGGTCATAATTTGACTCCAGAGATACATTAGCACGAACTCTTTTTAAATTTTTCTAATCTTACCGAAACTTTCTTGTGGACTCAAAATGAGCTGAAATAGTGAATTACAATATGGGTAATTCTCTCATACGTAGATCCAAAAATATTTTTGTTAAATGTTTGTTAGACTGGAAAACCAGTATATAAAACCCGAAAAAGAATCCCTTATGTTCATAATCGGAATCAACATGATCGATAATCCATAATTCGGTAGCTTCTGTTGAAAAAGCGATTGATCAGTTGAAAACATGTACAACAAATTAATGTTTTTTTTTTCTTGCCATAAAAGTAATCATAATAAGATTATTAAATAACGAAGTATACGTTGACTCAAAATGGTCAACAAAACTAATCAATCACTAAAGAAGTTTTAAACATCTAACAAAACTTTTGTAAGTAGGTGGAAAAGTGTTCAATAACAACGTTTTTTTGATTTTTTCTCTATAATATTTATCATTGATGACAAGGTTTCTAAAAAATTGGACATGGTAGCTTCCGGGTCGCAGAAAGCATTTTCCAAGTCATTTTAAAGAACACAAAATTCTGAACGAAATGCGGCGAACTTTCAATTTGTTCAGAATTCTATGTTCTTCTAAATAGCTCCGACAATGCCTTCTAGGATCAGAAAACTATCATGTCCAGTTTTTAGAAACCCTACCATCAATGAAAACTTAATATAGAATGCATTAGATAGAAAATTCTATTGACTATTAAAATCATCGTTTGAATTTAAACTAATTCCTTAACATTGTAGAAAACAAAAAGATCAAAAATATGTTGCTGTTAAACCGTTTTCCATCACTATACATCAGATTTTCCATGGTTGAAGATTTATTATAATTCTTTAGTCAATTGACATACTATTGTAAAATTAGTTGTATTCTCAAAATATTGATGATTATAAATAAAGATGTTGCCTTTTTTGTTTTTTTTTCTTTATTTTTATCACCAAGCCTTAGCTAATAATCAATAAAACGAAGACATCTTATAACAAAGATATGAGCAAAAACAACATAAAAACGAAAGTTATATATGTCTAATAACTAGTTCAGAAAAAAAGAAAACAAAACAACAACATTCTTATACTATTTTTGTCCAGTAGAAAAAAGAAAAACAACAGCAGTTGATAAACCAACGGAAAATAAATAGTTAACTGTTGGTGAAAAATTTTTTAAAACAAAAAATGATAATATAATAAGACAAACAAGATAGAATGCATTATTGTAAAAAATTGAATATGTTGTTGCTTCAAAATCGGCTACTTCATTTTTACGTGCTAAAATTCTATTTCAAAAACAAAAAAAAAACAAAGTAGAATATCTTGTATTTTTTTGTTTTTTTATGAATTTTTCTTACCGATCATCTTTATCTTTTTTATTTGCATTTTTATCATTAGCAAAAATTTTTGAAATTTCTCGACTAACAGCATCTTCACGTTTTTGTGCAATTCTAAAATAATTCATGGAATTCTTGTTTTTTTTCTTAATTAATGAAAATCAAAACAATTACGAACTTATGTTTTAAAATAAATTTCATATTTTGATATGCTAAATTAAGAAAATATGTGCTAATGACAGTACCAATAATAAAATGAATGAAATATGATGAAAAATCCATGTGATGAATACGCCAGAACAACCCTGAAACAAAAAAAAAATAAAAGAATTTATCATATCGAACAAGTTTTAATAATTAAATTGTTTTACATAGTGGAATAGCTGATACAACTGCAGCATTACCACTAAATAAAACCCATGATTTTGTTGTTACATTTCGACTAAAATCTTGAAGAAGTAAATCTTCATCACTAGATATTGATCGTTGATTAGACATTGGTTTATTTTTGTTTCCCTTCTATATCTAAAAATTAGACGTTTGAAAAAATTTTTTCTCCCTAGTAGAAATCAAATCTTGACTGATAATTTAGCCACGTCTTACCATAGATTAATTAATAAAGTCTCTAGTATTTTTTAGATCGTATACGTATGTAATAAAATGAATAAATAATTTTTTTGTTTTGAATATTTTTCTTTTCGAATTTTCCTATTAATGTTTTAATCCTAATGAACAGATCATTTTCATCGACAGATGACACTACTATGCATTTCGAAATAGAAGACAAAATCAAATTAAACTTGAGTAACTCGTGCGAATGCGAACAGGTATTATGAAACGATATTTATCAATCGGGACTAGCGGCGGCGCCAGGATTTTTGGGCTGGATCCTCTCAGCCCTTCTGTAGGACCATCTTTGCCAACAACTTTAAAATTTTCTCGGTGACTCAGGCTTCTACGGGACTATATTTAGCAACAACTTCAAAATTTTTCGAGAGGCTTAGAGAATTTTTTGGGGGCTAAGCCCTTTCTCTTGGCGCTGCTACTAGTCGGGTTATTTCGAACTATGACTAGCGGAGCTTTTTGTCGATCGGTTTTCAATTGAATCTTTAGAAAATAACTATGCTTTTTAAAGATGTTACATTGAATTTTAAGTTTTAAAACATAGATTTGGTTGAGATAATTGTTCTTTTTTGAACTGTTCAAGAGTTATTAGAATTTACTTGATTTTAGCTAGTTGCTCGAGAATTACACAATAAAACATGTCTACGCATAACATAATATGACAAAGTTCACATTAATATGAACTAATACCTAATGAAACAACTGCTTTCAACACTAGCAGCTAATGACAACCATTTCTAACTCAATAGCCTTTCTTTCGATTTATGTCCAAAACACTTCGTGTCGTTTGCCACGCGTCTTCTCGTCATAACACAAATATTTCTTCATGACAGAAGACTTTTAGTACAAAGCTGTTGGAAATAATGCAGGGAAGGCAGACGCGTATATACACACACACACACACACACACACACACACACACGAGTTTCTTTCAGAAAATGAGCGTTTGTATGCACTTTCTTATTGCGAAAATTTATTACTATTGATTTCGATGCGGAAAAAGCTATAACAAAATTACATCGTTTGTTTATTGATGCAGTTTAATTGCTTCATTATCATAATCATTAACGTAATTTGTTTAATTTTTATTAATAATAAATGTTCAAGGTTTCTTTACAAGGCACCATCAATCATTAATCTTTAAAATTTGTTTAACTATTTGAAATTAACTTCTATAGACATTGTTTATTTGATTAATTAATCATCCGCAGAAAATGATTGAATTCTTTTTCGAAACGTTTTCTCCTATATAAAAATAAAAAATATTCATATTATTCATTGTTGATGTCATTACGAATTGGTGATCAACAGCATATTTTTCTTCGAATCTATGTACATAGAATGAGAAGAAGAGAAAGTCCCAATGGACTATTTTTCTCTGTTTTTCTTTTCTCAAGGCAAGTGGGGCAAAAAAAGACAACTTGTTACTTTATTCGTCTACCTCATAGCCCTCATCATTACACGACTTCACGATTGATTTTTTTTTTGTATGACATAAATGGCTTTTTCTATTCGTTCGACACTGCTTGTTTTTATTGTTGCGCTCTGTAAAATCACATATGTGTGGACTATAGAGTGTTATTCAACATATCAAGTCTCTTCCGGAACAGTTCAGATCTCTTCAGCTACTGCCTTAATAACACCTGAGAACGAAACATGTTCGGTTGTTGGTTGTGTCTGTTATAGTTTTCAAACAACTTGTTCCTCCTCATCATCAATAGCAGCTACTTATACACCATGTAGTCAACAAGATCAACAAAATGGTGTAACAAAATGGAAATGGGGTCAAACTTCGAAAACAAAATGTGAACAATTACAACGACAATCTCAAATTTATCTTAACATGATCTGTTGTGATACGAATCTTTGTAATAAACAGTACGATCCACCACCAACAACTTCGGAACCAAATAGAACTTCTTCGGATTCACATCCAAAATGGTCTACTTTGATTATCATGCATCTTCTTCTCTTAGCGCATATATTTCTTCAAGACAAATAACTAGACGAAAATTTTCTTTTTTCTTTTTTGTCGAATTATTGAACTTAGAAGTGCATTCAAAATAACCATATACTCAATATATAAACTTATTTATTTCGTTTTTCAATCGCATTTAGAATTCTTATTTGATGTTAGACTTTTTTTTTCTGCTATCTGCTTAATTAAATT